CTCACAGCCACCACCTTCCCTACTGCTCCGGACAGCAAATGGTATATTGACTCTGGTGCTGATACCCATGTCTCTAGTACCCCTGGTAATCTCTCCCACTCCTCTCCTTACTCCGGTTCAGAGTTTATCCAGGTTGGCAATGGTCAATTACTTCCTGTCACTCATTCTGGTAATACAGTGTTGTCATTGTCTAGTCATTCCTTTAAACTTAATAATGTGCTTGTCTCTCCGCATCTTCGTAAGAATTTACTTTCTGTTCGTCAGTTTACTAAAGACATCAATTGTAGTGTGGAATTTGACTCTTCTGGTTTTTCTGTTAAGGATATCCACTCGAAGAACGTCCTGCTTCGTTGCAATAGTGCGGAGGGACTTTATTCCGTGTCTAGCTCATCTCAACGTCATCCTACGATCCTTAGTACTGCCGTTGTGTCTCCTGATGTCTGGCATCTTCGTCTTGGTCACCCAAGTTCAGCCTCTGTTACTCAATTGGTTCGTCGTGGTTTAATTTTGTCTAATAATAAAGTTCCTAGTTCAATTTCTTGTCATGCTTGTCAACTAGGGAAGCATACTCGACTTCCATTTAGTGACTCCTTGTCAACTACTTCAACGCCATTTGAGTTAATTCATTCTGATGTTTGGACTTCTCCTGTCATGTCTTTTACGGGTATTCGTTATTATCTTTTGTTCTTGGATGATTATAGTCACTATTTATGGGTTTATCCTTTAAAATCAAAATCTCAAGTGTTTCCAGCTTTTCTTAGATTTTCTGCTTATGTTTCTACTCAGTTTGGTGCTCGGATTAAGGCTTTTCAATGTGATAATGGCCGTGAATATGACAATGCAGATTTTGCTACTTATTTTCAAACAAATGGCATTCATCTTCGATCTTCTTGTCCCTCGACTCCCCAACAAAATGGGAAAGCCGAGCGGATGAATCGAACAATCATCAATATGGTTCGCTCTTTACTTTTTCAAGCAAACTTGCCTAGTGAATTTTGGGTGGAAGCTCTTTATGTAGCTATTCACTTAATTAATATTTTACCTTGCTCTAGGCTACATTTTTCCACCCCTCATGAGGCTTTATTTGGCACAGTACCCTCTTATGATTATTTACGACCTTTTGGTTGTGCTTGTTATCCTAACTTATCTGCCACTGCTGCCCATAAATTGGCACCCCGGTCCTCTTTATGCATCCTTTTGGGATATCCTAGTCACCATAAAGGGTATCGATGTCTTGACTTAAAAACCCAGAAAATTATTTTATCTAGACATGTTACCTTTAATGAAACTGAATTTCCCTACTCACCCTCTGTGCCATCCCATTCTCCCTCATTTTTCCGGACTCCTTTTCATTTATTGGACAATACCTCTCCTAGCCCAGTCATGCCACACTCTTATCCTAACTTTCCTAGCCCAATCATACCTTCCACTGGCCCAACTTGCCCCG